GGTTGGCTAGGCTCTAGGCTGTGCCTGTGTGGGTGAGATCTACCTGACACTGAGTGGGTAGGCAAGTGGTAGAGCTGGAAAAGGGGATTTCATTCCATATGGGGAAGAACTGGAGAGTTCTATACTGTTGAGCTAAAACGAAGAGAGAAGATATGTGAATTTAAAGTAAATAAGTTAGTTATTGTTCATAGGATAAGGTTAGGTAGAAAAATGTAGAAATCAGATCAGAGAGTTTGGGCGATAGGTCAGTATCCAGATGTTCAAGCCAGGAAGGAAAAAATAGAAACACAATTTAAGCCAGTTGAATAGATTTCAAAATCTGGAATGACAAACAGGGTGGCCTAGGTGGGTCACATGGGCATTCATGATCTGGGAAATCAGGCAACAGGAACCAGGGACTTACATTAAAAGTCAGGATATAGGAGATAAAATCAGCCCCAAGATCCTTAGGTATTAATTACAATGGGGGTGGGGACAGAAAGATTGCCCTAGATACTGAGTCAAATGTTTCCAAGGCTGGAGCTCCATGATCTTTCATAAGAGGTAGAATTGAGATTAGCACCCAGCTCAGAGATGGGGGAAGGAGTGCCAAAGGATGATATAAACTAATAGGCACTTCCTATTAATTCACGTAACTAGTGAATATTCTAAGAACCCTTTAAGTATATTCAAACGAATACTAGAATCTCAAAAAATTTAACATTTATGCTTAGGCTTGTCTTTTTTTGTTCTCAAGGCAAGTTGATGAGTAGTTTTAAAAAGCAAATTGTATACTAGAGGCTCCTGAAGAGTTTGTCATTAGTTAAAGCACTTAAGTGTTTACACAGACATATTTGCTGATTGTTCACGAACTTTAGAGTTGATCTTGTTGGATTTTGTCATTCATCTGCTCAAGGTTTTTTCCTTTTCTGGTTTTATTCTACAAGTAACTTAGAATTCTTAAGATGGCACAAACTGTATCCTTTTTGCCTGACTTCCCAACGTCATTTCTGACTCTTCCCCCTGACTCACTAGGTTCCAGACATGGCCTTTTTCCAGGTATGTTGAAGTGCTAGACTTTCTCCTGTCAGGGTCATTGCACGTGTTCTTCCCGACTAGAAGGCATTTTAATTCACTCTTTTCCTAGATAGCTTCTAGTCATCTTTTAGGCCTCAGATTAAATGTCACATCCTCAGAAGCCCTTAAACTCACGTATGCCTCCTTTGTAATTCTTAGTAACACTTTTTTTTATTGCTTTTACCATAATTCTAGGTGTATATTTTTGAGTTTAGTTGTTTAATGGTTGCCACTCCCACTAGAATGTGACCTCTACCAGATGTGAGGACATCATGGGTTTTGGGAAAGAGGAAAACGAGTTAAAATCCAGTAAAGTGATAGAAGGTAGAAGAGGCAGGTAACATAGAAAGAATTAAAAATACCATTCAAGAATTAAAGAATAGCAGTCTAAAGATCATTTAATGGAGGGCAAAGTGCTTAATACATCTAAATGGGCTATGGTAAGACTGGAAAATAATGAGTATTCTCTTCAGGAGAGATCAAGAAACTCTAGGATGTGCAGAAATTGGAGCCCTCCGACTGCTGATGGGGATACAAAATGGTGTAGCCACTTTGGAAAACTTTGGCAGTTCCTCAAAAAGTTAAACAAAGCATGTGACTTAGTAATTCCACTCCTAGGTATACGTGTAAGAGAAATGAAAACATTGGCAGACAAAAACTCGTACGTGAAAGTGTATAGATGCATTATTCATACTAGCCAAAAAATGGAAACAACCCAAATGCCAGCCAGATAATGGATAAGATGTGGTATATCCATACAAAGGAATATTATTCAACTATAAAAAGGAATGAATTACATGCTATAATACAGTTGAAACCTGAAGATATGCTAAGTGAAAGATGCCAAACAAAAGGCTATATGTAATATCATTTATATGAAATGTCCACAATAGGGAAATCCATAGACAGAAAGCAGATCAGTGGTTGCCTAGGGCTGGGGGAGTATGTGTGGAGAGTGACCACTAATGGGTATAGGGATTTCTTTTTGGGGTGACGAAATGTTCTAAATTTAAATTGTGGTGATGGTTGTACAACTCTGTGAACATACAGATTGAGCATTTTAAATCTAAAAATCAAAAATCCAAACTGCTCCAAACCTGAAACTTTTTGAGCACTGACGTTATCTCAGAGAAAATGTTCACTGCCGTATTTTAGACTAGGGATGCTCCACCGGTAATGTAAATATACCAAAATCTGAAACCTGAAACACTTTTGGTGCTAAGCATCTTGGATAAAGGATATTCAATCTGTACTAAAATAACCACTGATATATATTCTAAATGGGTGAATTTTATGATATGTAAATTATATCTCAATAAAAATGTTTTAAAAAGTTACAGTTGATTCTTGTTATTCATGGTAGTTATGTTTAATAAAGTCGCTGCAAGCACTGGATTGGGAACCTCTGGTCACAACATTTCCATCAATCTGTAACTTTGTATTATGTTTATTTAAAGACATCTCACTTAATACATACTGTTAATTTATTAACATTGAAGTCATGGCCAACAACTGTAACTCATGCCTGAACAAAGCTTATCTAAAACATGTATTTTTTTCATAACATGCATCACAGCCTTCTTGTACTCAGGAACACTAAATAGCACTTCAATACTACACTGGGGGAGGCATTTTAAACAGTGAAACCACCAACAAAAAGCACAAAAATGCAAAGAATGTGGCACTAAACACACTGTGAAAGGGATACTTGTTTATGGTATGAGAGTTGAAACAAGGCAGTGTCACCTTGTTCAACTTCAGCTGGGAACACGTACATTGGGCAACTCAAATTTTTTTGATGCTCTGTGCATATTCTGACTATGAAAGTGCTGTGAATATTATGGGGTTACAAACAAATTTTAGCAATTAGGTAAATTCACAAAGGAAATGTGTGAAAAATGAAGATAAACTGTAGTTTTTCTGCCAAAATGGTTTTTTAAAACGTTTTGAATTTCAAGGTCTAAACTTCAATCTCTTTATATTGCTAGACAGATAAAATACATTATTGGGGATATATATGTTTCAGGAGTAGCTAACACGAAAAATCTAGTTCTAGAGGCTTCATACAATTATCCTTAGTTTTATCCCTTCAGTATTTCGAAGTAACCATGTTTCATGCTACTGATTACTGGGCCAAGGACCAGTTCAAAGGTAAAAAGTTTACATTTCATCGGCAAAAATCTATTTTGAATTTATCACAAACACAGGCCCTCTCCTCCTAAGAGAGTCCTCTGTCATCATAGAATATATTAATTAAAAGGTAACTTTCAAGTAAAAGACTTATCTGTGCTCTGTCTAGTATCTATACCCCTAACTTCCCATGTATTTGTGGACATGTTTTCACATACTACCTACTGCCAATTTTAACTTCAAAAGTTTTGAAGTATTTGCTTTCAAAAGTATTAATATTTTTTGCATTTTATTGATTTTAATTTTAGAATGGCTTTCAAGCCTCAAATCCTCTTAAAACAGGAAATATCAGTTCTTGCTCATAGTTCCTATAAAGAGGCTTTTGCCAAACTCAGAAATTTAGAGATAAATTAACTGTTTTAGCCTGTAAGTAACATAATTTTGGCAGGGGGGAACAAAGTCATAAATATCAAATGACTATTATATATCCATCTTTGTGAATTTGAATAAGCTTAATCAAATGTCAGAATTTGGCTACAAAATGGTACTTTCTGGATCAGTATTTATACCCCTTTATTGGTAATCAGCAGTGTTGTTTCTTTAAAAATCTGTTCTTTGATTATAATTGGTGAAAAACAGTTGGAATTGGCTGATTAACTTGAATCTCTCAATTAAAACAGTGGGGCTTGGAAGATACCCTTTTATTCATCAACGTGAGAACTTGGAAGCTCTAAGATACTGTGGGGTTCTTCAAGCTCTTTGATCTCTCATAATAACTAAACACAATAGACTCCTTAGGCTTCTCTCCAGTTTTTTAAAAAATTTACCACTGCTAGATGCTCTTCCTACCTAGAAACCAGTCCAATTAGATCTCTATGCCAATCCCATAGTTTTGAAGTTTCATTCATCAATCCCACTATTCTTGTGCATGCAGTGTCAACTACTATCACGCTGTTTTTTCCACTGTCCATAATTAGCTTAATCTTCCTCTTGTTCTGAAGTAGTAATCATCATTAGGGACTAGTGGCACATTTAACCAGGGCCTTGCACTATCAAAATGATGGCCCTCTCCAATGCTATGGATGATTAAAAGTAGACCATAATCTGCCTGCCAGGATTTCTTATGCTGTTTTGATTAGCCAAATTAGCCAGGGTTTATATTCATTCTCGTTAGCTTTAAAAGTAGACTTTTTAATTTTAAATATATATAACACAATATATATAAATACATAACACAAACTGTTAGTAAAGATTAGTAACTGATCTCTATTAAAAATAAATATTTTATAAACATTCTCTGATAGAGTTGCCTTTATAGATTTCCAAATATTCTTCATTAAGATAGTAATTCAAAATCAACGATTAGGAAAGTTTCTAGATTATAAGAATTTATTCTGAGATAAAGTTGACAGTAGGATATTAGACCAATTTGATAGGTTAGTAAGAGGTTTAAATGACATAGGAGTCATATGGATGAATGCTGGTCTTAGTGAACTATCTCCTATGAAGAATTTACTTTGACTAGATAGTAAACAAAAATCATAATTTTTAGTATCAAAAATTTTATATTATTAAAAGACATACTCCTTATATAATTAGATACCAATGAAAATGTATTCATAAATGAAAGAATCTTGAAAAATAAAATCAGACAAATATAAAGCAGTATTACCAACAAGTTATGATAAGTTTTAAACAGTATAGCCATCTTTATATTTTGGCTTAAAAAAGCTTTATGAAAAGAAAATAAGAATACATTGAGAAACTTATCATTTTTAAGCATGAAAAGACAAACCAGAAGAATTTCAAATTCTGATACATTTTTAAAACTTTTTATTTCTATTTTGGTTTTACAAACGGTCATTTTAAAATGAACTTTTCTGTAAGAACATAAAACTCAAAAATTTGCCAAATATCGGATCCACACAAATCCTTAGAAAAGGTTTTCTGTGTAGTCTTCATTAATGCAAATCTTTGTGAATGTTTCATTCTTACTGTAGATCTTGAATATTTCACAATAATGAAGCTACAAAGTTCTATGCAGTGCATTCATTATAAACTATAAATAACATTTCTATTAAAAAGAAAGCTGGGTAATAAAAAAATATGAGACACTTTGAGGAGCAGGCAATCTGTGTATCTTATTTGCTTTGTAGTTTTCTGTCATTACTTTCAAAGAGCACAAACATGAAGCATAGTAATCATCTGTCTTACTAACCTAATTTAAAATTCTGTTATTTGTAAAACTGGACCAATTATCAGAAACTATCATTTGCATAATTAACCACAAGTCTGTTACAAAGCATTTCATTAGTGGTATCAACAAATGCAGGAGGATGGAAACTTATAAAAAAATGGGTTTTGTTAAGCTTGCCAACTCCTTAGATATCACGGGCCGTGCTGCCACTTCAAGATCTAATTAGATGTTTAACGCCTCACACTAAAAGGTTGATCAATTGAAGCTTGCAAAACTAAATTATTTTCTAGGTGCTATAATATTTCATTTGATAAGGCAACAAAAAGGACAAAATTTAAGCAAGATTTATATGCGTTCCAACTTTTCACTCAAGAATTCTTCTACACTGTCTGTGTTCCACTTGAGGATGCTTAGCTCTTCAGCAATGTTCCCATTGTCGTCCAAAAGCTTTAATACAGGGTCTGAACCACGAACATACTACAAAAAAGAGGGACATCATCACTATTTTCTGCTTAGAAAGAGACTTCTTAGCCTCAACCAAGATCAAAACAATTCAGTCTAGCTTAATTAAATCTAACAGTAATAAGAAAAAGCTTTTAGACATAACATCACAATTGACAGGTCTTAAAGAAGTCTTTCAGGAAAGAATTTAATGGGATTTCATAAAAAATGAGAATTTAAGAAATTTACTTCTAAAGAGAAAAATACCTGTTGGTATCAAGAGACTTTATTTGGGATGTGAGCTGATCATTGAATATAACAAATACTTATTTGTATACATGATACTCTCAAACTCAAATGAGATTTAAATCCAATGAAGGCAGACCAGTTCAAAATAATTAATGAGACAAGATGATGGTATGACAGCAATGTTTTGAAAAAGGCTGTGCATATAAATGATCAGACACAGAGTCACACAAATGGATCATAAATTTTCCTTAACAAATCTAATTATTTTGCTGTAATCAGTTTAGAATTAGGCAGGGTTCCCAAAACCTCAGCCCCTTTAGTTGGGGGCCCAACATTTTTCCAAAGAGTGCCAAGAAATTCTATCTCTGGGTAAATGTGATAACATGAACTCATTTGTTAAGAGATCAAATCTTCAATTTTAAATTAAGGAGAACCAGATAACTAAAAATGTAGCACTGATGATAAAGGGAGCTCTTAGAACTTCTTTCAGTAATTATGCTTCAGTTTTTCTATGTCCTCTGGGGTTGTGAACTCCAGAAATGGAGACAAGCTCTGATGTGATTATTAGCATTTGGTATATTCCCAACCCATTTGGGGAGTTTAGAAAGACAGGCCCTCTGAGCTAATGAATCAATAACAACATTACTATTTTAGACATTTTTAGTCAGGTTATTTCATAAATTGTTTGAAAATTTTTGATTAGTTATTAAAAAACTTGTTTTAATTCAAAAAAAGGAAATAAGAAAAAAGAACACAGCTATAAAAATCTTCAACAAAATATTAGCAAATCAAATCCAGTAATGTGCAACAGGAATTATATACCATGATCAATTGCAAGACACATATCTGATAAAGGACTTAACTCTTAAAGCTCAGCAATAAAAAAATAAGGTCAATAAAAGCAGGCAATAAAGCAAAAATAGACAAAGAGGACCACATGAAACTTAAAAACTGTACATCAAAGGAAACAATGAACAAAGTGAAAAGACAACCTAGAGAAGGGGAGAAAATATTTGCAAATCATATATCTGATAAAGGGTTAATATCCAGAATATACAGAACTCCTACAACTTAACAACAACAAAAAAACCCAATTAAAAAATGGGCAAAGGACTTAAATAGACAATACTCTAAAGAAGATATACAAATGGCCAATAAGCATATGAAAAAATGTTCAAAATTATAAGAGAAATGCAAATCAAAGCCATAATGAGATAGTACCGCATACCCATTAGGACGAACACTATCATAAAATAGAAAATAACAAGTGCTGACAAGGATGTGGAGAAATTGGAATCCTTATGCACTGGTGGTAAGATTGTAAAATGGGGTGGTCATTATGGAAACAGTAAGGAGATTCCTCCAAAAATTAAAAACAGAACTACCACATTGATACAGCAATTCCATTTCTGGGTATACATATATACTCAGAAGAATTAAGAACAGGGACTTGAGGAGATATTTGCATGCCTATGTTCATAAAAGGATTATTCAGATTAGCCAAGCAGTGGAAGCAACCCAAATATTTACTGATGGATGAATGGATAAAGAAAATGTGGTATATACATACAATGGAATATTATGCAGCCTTAAAAAGAAAGGAAATCTTGTCACATGCTACAACATGGCTGAATCTTGAGGACATTATGCTAAGTAAAATAAGCCAGTCACAAAAGGACAAATACTATGTGATTCCACTTACATGAAGTACCTAAAGTAGTCAAAATTATAGAAACAGAACTAGAAAGGGCAAGGTTGGAGATGGAGGGTGGAGGGGGAAGGAGGAATTAGTGTTTAACGGGTACAGAGTTTCGGTTTTGCAAGAAGAAAAAGTTATAGAGATCTGCTGCATAACAATGTGAAAATACTTAATAGTACTGAAATGTACACTTAAAAATGGTTAAGATGGTAAAATTAATGTTACGATTTTTTTTTTACCACAATTAAAAATAGGGGGGCAAAAGATCTGAACAGAGATCTTGCCAAAGATATACAGATGGCCAATAAACACATGAAAAGATGCTCAAATCATATATGATTAGGGAATTCCAAATTAAAACAATGAGATACCACTATGTACTTATTATTAACAGAATGGCTAAAATCCAAAACAGTGACAATACATAAGGTTGCGTAAGGATGTGGAGCAATAGGAACTCTTATTTATTGCTAGTGCAAATGTAATGTGATGCAGCCACTTTGGAAGATAATTTTGCAATTATTTTACACAGTTAAAAAATCTTAACTATATGATCCAGCAATTGTGCTCCTAGGTTATTTACCTAAATGAGTTGAAATGTATGTGAACACAGAAATTATACAAAAATATTTACTTTACTTCTAATTGCCAAAAACTGGAAGCTTTACTTCTAACTGCCAAAAATTGGAAGCAACCAAGACATCCTTCCACAGGTGAATGGAGAAACAAACTGTGGTAAAACAGAATGTTATTCAGCAATAAAAAGAAATGAGCTATTGAGCTATGGAGAAGATACCGAAGAACTTTAAATGCATATTGCTAAGCAAAAGAAGCCGATCTGAAAAAGCTACATATTATATGACTCCGACTATATGAGATTCTGGAAAAAGCAAAATTCTTACAGAGACAGCAAAAAGATCAGTGGTGGTGAGGCGTTGGGGAAGAGAAAGAGGGAGATGAATGAACATATGGAGCATAAGGGATTTTTAAGGCAGTGAAACTATTCTGTATGATAAAGTAATGATGGATACATAAGCATTTGGCAAAACTCCTGTAACTATACGACACAAAGAATGAAACCTAATACAAACTATACAATTTAATTAATAATAATGTATTATTGGTTCATTAATTGTAACAAATGTACCCTACCAATGCAAGATGTTGTAACAGAGGAAAGTGAGGGCAGGGGTGGGAGCCAGAGAATATACGGGAATACGCTGTACTTTCCGCTCAGTTTTTCTGTAAACCTAAAACGACTATAAAAAAGTCTATCAGTTAAAAAAAAATAAATTTTTAAATTGATGTCTAATTGAGGAAAATTATTTGAATATTTGAATTTTAAAAAGAAAAAAATTAATGCTGAAAAAAAAGACATTCCATTACAATCACCTTACCTTGATTTGCAGTCCTCTGAATAGTTTGGGTTTATCACTCCTGACGAAAGCTTATGAAACAAGAAAAAAATATTCAAATCATTCACTTCCAAAACCAAGCTAACTGCAAAGATCAATACAAAAAGTGGAAATAAACTTAACAAATAAAGCATTATGTCCTATATGAAAAACATAAGGAAATTTAAACACATATGAATAAAGGGAGAGATATACCATATTCTTTGAAAGGAAGATTAAATATTTTAAGATGTTAATTGTTTCAAATTATTAAAAATACCAAATTCCAATAGGATTTTTAGGGCTTGATAAAATGACAGTATAGCTCAGCTGTAAAAGTTAATGTGTGAGAACAGTCAGGGCAGTTTATAAAAAAGTAAGATATGGGGGGAAGATTTGTTCCATCATTTATGTATGTGATGCTGAGAAGAGAACAGATGAAACAAAGAAACAGATTAGGAAATTTAGAGAGATACAAATATCAGTAAGAATTTTTTAATATGGTAAAGCCATCAAATAGAGGTAGGAGGGAAGGAGGGGGGAGAGAAGAAGAGAGGGATATATGTGTCTGGGGTGTGTGTGAATTATTCAACAAATAGTTGTGAGAAAATTGCTGAACTATTTGGAAAAAATAATCATAAAATTAATAATTATGATTGTGATAACTGTTAAGAAGGAAAGGTTCAGAACACTACCATAGCACAAAGAACTTATGTGAATATGGAATATAAAATTCTACTCTTAAGCATGACCCCCCCAAAATGTTTTGTAGATACGCTCATATAAAAATTAAAACTTCGGGACAACAAAACATCACCATAAACAAAATTAAAGGTAAAAATGATAAACTGGGGAAAATTATCTCTAAAATATAATATTTAAAAGAGTTCTTACCAGTAATTAAGGAAAAAACCCTCTAGATAGCAAAATAGACTAAAGAACATGTAATGTATAAATACACAAATGGTCAATAAACATTTGAAGTAAATGTTCGACTTCACTAATCAAAGAAATGCCAAAACAAGGAGGTACATAGAGAATGACAAAGATTAAAAAGAATACTTAAGGTTAGAGAGGGAGCAGGGACAGGGATTTTGTTGAGGGTGAAGTGTGGCAGGAGTATAAATGGGTATATCCTTCGTGAGGGGTATTTAGTGAACTGAACCAAAAGTCTTCAAATGTACATACTCTTTCAACCTGCCAAGTCCACCTCTAAAACTTTCTTTTCTGTGTGAGGAAATAACTGATATATTACATAAGGTCCTTCTAACTAAGCCTGGAAATAGGAACATAATCTAAATGTATGAAAGGCTACTGGTTAACTAAATTAACACACATCATACCATCAAATACGTTCAATCATTAATAATTACGTTAATCTATATTTAGTGACTCAGAAGAAAACTTCCATTATGTGTAAAAGGCAATTATAGATCAATTTGTTTCCTATGGTTGTTAAAAAAAGATAAATATTAATCCATAAATATTTTCATCCCAAATGAAAAAGCTCAGAAGCACTAAAGAAAATCTTAAAATGCACCTAATGCTTCTAAAAATGTTAACTATTATCATTTTAACAGAGGGTTATACCTGGAGCATAGGATTTAGGAAGTTTTAAATGAATGTTTTTCCTTTTTTGGTTGTTACTGAATTACATTTTACCAACTTTCATAATGATCATGTCTAATTGTCCAAATTAAAAAGTTTATATTTTTCTAAAATAAATACAAAGCAAATGTTTATTTTTTAAGATATGTATCATCATGAAGGTCTTCATTTACTTTTATTTAGGACAACAAAACAAAGACTAGTTAAGTAGTTTTTATTTTTCTTTTAAGGTTTTGAGGACTTGTTGGAAGAGACTCAGATATACCATCTAATCTTCCCCTACAAAATTTAGTTCAAAATAAAACTGGTTACGTTATTCTGGCTTATCAAAATAACTTCTTTATTAACTATCCTTTAGGATTTGTCCAAATAGCCTGAAATCTCCTGAATGCCCAAACAAAAATGATCTTATGATGGCCTATTCCATTTTATAATGTTCCTTTGGCAAATGCTATATGCATATCTTGCATCATATACCGTGTAACGCACAGTAACTGTGTCTACATACTTTCCCTGCTTCACAAGAAACCTCTCTGGGAAAAGGACTATTCTTACATATTTTTTGTAGCCATAACAGAGCTTAGCACATTTAATAACTTTCAATCATTCAACAGATTTTTTACAGACTGAGTGAACAAATTTAAAAGGAATACTGAGATGAGTCACTGATGACTCTTTTTATCAGTTCTTTCCTCTTCTCTCTGCTAAAGATAGATCTATAGTCTCCTAATTTTGAATTAGAGGAGTACCTGTTAAACACCTTTAGTAGCAAATCATATTTTACAGGCAGTAAATGAACCTTTTAACAAACATTTGAGTACTATATATATATATATATATATATATATATGGCATTGGACGGGCTATATAAGAACATGGGGAACTGAGTTATTTAATTTCAATAAATCTACAGTCTGCTTAATTAAACAGATCTGCGACACATAAAAAGATACAAGGTAGTCATAATAACAATGTTAATTTAATGATAGATGATAAGGACTCTGAAGTCAGAGAAGAGATTTTAATATGCTGGAGTCACAAAGAAATACGCCACAAAAATTGAGCTGTAAGAAGCAACATTTGATGAGAACTGAGAATTTATATACCCACTTTAACAAAAATGATGTCTTTCCTTCAACATAATTCTAAAGGATTCAAACGGATTTTTATCTCTTACTACTTCAAACAATTTATTCCTAAAATCCGACATTTCATAATAGCCAAAATAGCCCCAAAGTCAACTTCAAATGTTTTACTAAAGAAAGTAACCTGAAAAAGTATGTATGCTAAGAAAGGCAACAGTAGTGGTAGATCTTTAGCCAGTCAGGAAAAAAATTGTAATTCCTCAAGTCCAGTGCTTTTGTCTTCCTTTTATCGCTAAACGTAGTATTGTATTTATATATTATATAGCATGGCTCAGTTATGAATAAGGGAAAATTCTCATATTTCACAAATTATAGCAAAATCACAATAGATGAGTGTGTGAATATGCAGTATTATTTGTAGTATCAGTTTGATTTAATGATCAAATTTCACATGCTGTACAGCTGCATGAGTCATTAAATATGCAAACAGCTAATAAAGTCCAGGAGCACAAATAATGGGGTTTATGGCAACCTTTCCAGAGGTATTTTTTTTCTTTTAAAAGACTCTGGAAGAGGAGAGCTGGAATACTTTAACTTTCAGTATACAAGGAAAAATAGTCATCACCACATACCATTTGAGTTGAGTGAACTGTTTTTATTTTTTATATTTTCAAATGATTTTATGAATAATTTTGTAAAAGAATAAAGGGAAAGTGAAAACCAAATTTATTAGAAATTTTAATAAGAATTAAACACATTAAACTTAAAAACCTATTCCATATTTTCCTGGTTTTGAAGGTAAATGTTACCAAAACAGACAATGTGCTTTGAATGCAACTAACTGTTCACTGTCATATGTGAACTTGGGACATAGCCATTTTACAAATATTGATTCCAGATTTCAAATACATTTCTAATAGGTTCTAGCTTATTATTACTCTGGTTCTTCTTCTTGCACTTACATTGTCAAAGTGTAATACTTTTGAAATCTTTGTTAAAGATAAGATGATCATCTTATTTGTAAAACATTTATTTTTGGAAGAATAAATACCAATAAGAATAATCAATTTAATGAATTTGTCATGTCTACACATTGATTTTTTCTTATCATTTTTATATACATACCAGCCTTTAGCATTTGCCCACTTATAAAATTTATCAAGTAAATTGTCATATATAAACATCATAAAAATTAAAAGAATAATGTCATATGATCTTTTAGGAAAATATGATGGTCTAGTTTCTTGTTGAAAATATTTTGTGATGAAGTCCTTGTTGGATGCCTAATGAGATACAAATACTATATTTCTTTTTTGTCCTTGGTAATAATAGTTTACTCATTGATTCTTGATTTTTGAGAAAATTCACTCAGGATAATATTGAATGAGGTTTCACAGTCTGAAACTTTGCTTACATGATCAATTTTACTATCATTACAGAACAGCACTAATAGAACTTTCTGCAATAATAGAAATTCTATATCTGCTATTTTTGGTATGATGGTTACTGAGCATTTGAAGTGTAGCTAGTGTAACTAAGGAACTGAATTTTAGAAGTTAACTGAAATAGCCATGTTTGGCTAGCAGCTACCTAATTGGATAGTCCAGGTCTAAAGTGCTATTTTTTCTCTTTGCATCCATCTTCTGATCCATCTGATCATTACAACACATTTTTGTCAATTTTCTTCTCCACCTCTATGGGCAGAAAACAAAAAAAATCTTAGTTCTCAAATGTGTTCAATGAAAGCTTAAAAAAAAAAGACTACAGCTATGGTGTCATACTATGTAACAAGAAAATCAAAGAATGATGTAACAGTGATGATTTATTTTGCTATTGCATTATCCTTCTTATAACTTTAGTCTTTTTAAACACAGCTGTAAATAACTGATGATTAATGATTCCACAATATATCCAAGATATATAAAAGGATTCAGTGCATTGATAGAGTAATTGCAACATAGAATGAGTTTTATTCTATTAAAAAATAAGTACATTTCCTCTTTGTTCTTTAAAAAAACCTCTAATAATAGAAGTCATGGAATAATAATCATTACAAATAGTATGAACAACCCAAAAAAGAAATTCAAAGAAAATTGAGTCCATTGGACCCTGATAGTATAGAAAGGGTTAAAAAATGTCCAAGACCTTGCAAAAGGACTTCATAAAGGTAATTTATTTTCTAGTTTACTTTCTGCTGTTTTAAAAATAGCTCAATGATAACAACTGGAGATTTCTAAAGAAAATCCAATCACTCTAATTTCTAGAAAATGATCTATGTCAACTTGATTACTTGTCAGTTATAAAGGCAATTTTGTAAATAACACTTAAAGTGATTAAATATACAGAAGTGATTAAAAAAC